ACAAATTTAAATTTATCATATACACTATCTGCCTGATATTCGACTGATAATTAGATTAATTAAACATATTGTTATTAATTAGCAGGATTGTGCATTTTCGAGATAGAAATAAATTTGGAGAAATTCTAGAAGTCATTTGGTGAATAAATTGCTTTGAGACGTGACTTCAATCTACTATTTACATTTTAATAATCTTAAAAAGGAAAATCAGTTCCAGTTACATGATAAATTTTTATTTCATATGTTCAGTTTTGCTGTAGGACAGAAAAAATAATTAAAGTTTTTTATTCATTTTCGTCCAGCTCACACTATAGTATCAAAACTTTTACCTTTTCGCTGGAAAATGTCTTATTTTTAACCTTTACGAAACGTTTTGTCGTCTCTATTTATGAGCTCTCTCAGGTTTCTCTTTCTTCGATATTCTAAGGCCAATGTTACCTTGTTTAGTCCAGGTATGAAAATATTACGGACAAGAGGTCCGATTAAATCTGTATGAACTCCCGCTTTAGGCCAAAAGTCATATTATTTCAATTGAAAAATTTTCTCTTGAAAGAAGTTTGATAGATGACCGGCATGAATCTATTACTAAAAGGAAAAGTATAATGTGCAGTGGCAATACACTACTAATATGAGGTTGCGAGCATTGGTGCTATTTTAAAACTCCCTCTCTTTCTACAATAGCATCAAAGTATAAAGTCGTATATGAAATACCATTCTAATATAGGATGCGGTTCTCACGTACTGTACTTCTGATACGTGGTATATGGCTTCTATCATGACTAGATTTGCCGTCCTGATATATAGTCTAGAATATAAAACGTGATACAAACGATATGTATATGATGTAATGCTACTAATAATCAAAGTTTATAAAAATTCTAAGAAAAAATTAAAATCTCGTTCTTATTATTTTTTTTAAATGTTGGCTTTATCATAATTCTTTATTTCAGTTCAACATTTTTCAATATTTTAAAGTTAAAATTTTAACTTAATGTCTGAAAACAGTTTATGTCCTTGATCAATGAAGTTCATAAATATTTCGATTGGCACTAGTGATAATTATTTTAAACAAAAAGTTTCCAGGTTATACCTCGTGTATACTCTGCAATGTGGGGTAAGTGAAATTCTATATTAAATATAGATTGATATAATAGACTTATAGCAAATAAATGTAAACATTGATGGATCAGATAAGGCCAACAAAATAATTTATGCCCTCACTGCAACATAGTAAAAAATAAAAAACTTCTGACTTCATTACTTAATCTTTTAAATTATTAATATATTAAATACTGTATAATTATTCTATAAATGTAGAGGATGCAAACGTTGTAATAGAATGAATGACATTTTTTTTTATATTATATTTAAATTTAATTTAAAAATTCAAAAATGCATGGCAAGATTCACTGCAGACTTATGAATAAAGTTTAAAAATTTATTTGGATAAATAAATATTATATATTTCTATAATAGCATTATTAAAGACTGCAATACAATGTTATTTTATAAAATTATTACAATTACTGTACTATATTAAAAAAGTTTTACTTAAATTTTCATAATATTCGTTGCAAATTTTGTTTCTGTAATTTTGTATCAATGTATATTATAACTGGTTAAAAAGTTCTCGCATTAGAAGTTTTCTTGTGTAAGAAGTTTAATTCTTCCCCGTAAGACATGTAAAATTTTTCGATTCAAAAAGCTTTTCCCATTTAAGTTGATGGAAATTCTTGTCCACGACTAGAAAATGAACTCGAGAAGTTTTTCAACTGTATCATATCAAAAATTTTACATATCTAATTGCATATGGAAAAATCATGACTAATTCCATGAGTTTTCCATATATAGAAAATTTTCTGTTTTATTTCGCGCGGACTTTGGCTACTTTGAAGATGGATTTTACAATTTTCTTACACGGGTATTTGCAAAAAACAGCGAACTCCGAAAAGAGCTATCAATACTTGGGTTAAACCATAGCTCCTCAACAAATTTTAATATGGTATTTGTAGATCTGTGGTTTTGTTTATGGAAATTTGTATATTTGTTTTACAGAACAAAACGGATGAAGCAAAGTACATTAGGCAACTATCAAAATAAGCTAGATAGTGTATAAGTCTAATTCACTGTAATGTTGTAGAACACTGTTAAATAAATATAGTTTTTCATTCAATAATCCATATCATTTTCATTTCTTCTTAATAAGTATTTTAAATTAATTCCTTGAAAAATTTCTTAACCGTGCTCTATTGTACACTGTAACCCTTTCCAGAAGGCATAAAGTTATAAAACAATTGAAGTCTTTGGGCAAGAACACAATGCATTTTTTCAAGTTTCTGAAAAAATTGCCTAAAGTTCAAAATTTTTCTGTATTTTAGAACAGATCACAGATAAATAATGATATCCGAGACTGATAAGCCAGTAGGCTTATATGAAGTGTTATATTATGAGTATGCCCTAGATTTGTAGAAATTTAACAATATTCAACAAAGAAACTGAGTTAACATGTTCTTGTCCCAAGGATCTTCAGTTGTAATTAGGCCTAAATAAATCAGTCCAAATTCGGCCATAAATAATGTATATGATACATTATTTTTGTATTTAATACGTTGTTATAGTTACTTCCATTAAGTATTCTTAATGTAATAAATTTATTTATTATTACTGTATTTATTATTCGCTTTTTTCTATTGAATTTCTTTTAATTGTTTAACGAGTACTACAATTGCTATTAAAATTTAATTTAATCAGTCTTTATTTGTAAAATATTGACCTTTTAGCAGAGGGGAAACAAAAGAAACGCGACCTTGTCAATTGGACCCACGTGCGGTCGGGTAATATACCACTTGTAAGGTGTTGACTTGTAAACAGAGGAAAAACAAAGGAAGCGCCGACTTTGTCAATTGGACCCACCTGTGGTCAGACGATAGACCATTTGCCATATAATAAACAACTGAATGTAAACAAGCGCAGGACGTTACTGTACCTGTCTCGTCGGATAACAGGGGACCTAGGTTAAAGCTGTTCGGGCAAGAAAGGTTTGTGGTTGGTCGGAAGTTTCCGTCCAGAAAACCCTTAAATTGCGGAACGAACGGGAGAGGGAGGAGAGAAGGGCAAGAGATTGGTACACGGTAGTCTCAGGCACTTGGGAAGCCCGCTGAGCGTAGAGAGTGTTCTCCTCTGGTAAACATCTCAGGGAAGGGTTAGTGCGGAGACTGGACTGACCGTGCAGTTGAGCCAACTCCACAAGATGACTGAGGCCTCTCTAATGTTTAATATTTCCCGGAGACCAATCTAGTACGTGAGTCACCACGCATTATCTGTTATCCTATATATATATTATGTTTTCGAACTTGTACTTTCTGCATATAGAATTTGTAAATAAACTGTAAATATTATCAAATTGAGTGTGGAGGTGTGCTTTCCATCGAACCTGGATCACTACATCGAATCGTGATACATACGGAAACCAACCCAACCATACATATGGAGTTTGGAAAAGAACTTCACTAAGATCTTCACTATATTATTAAATGATTCAATTCATTATATTAAAGATATTTATATGCAGGCCATTGATCGTTTTCCCTTAAAGTAAGTTTTTCTGTTAAATAAATAAGGATCAAATTGTAAAAAAAATAAGATTATGTACAAAAATTATAAACAGTAAAAATTTAACAGAATTTAAATGAAAATTAAAGGTATATTTTACTATACATAAATGAACTCATTAAAAAGTCATGAAAAAAAGCTTGTAAAAAAGCTTTTAAACACTTATGGGGAAAAAAGGATAGAGGAAAGAGGAGGATTAAAAGAAAGGATTAAAACGTAATACTATTTAAAAACTTTTAATAAAAAACAAGATAAAAGTATTTAAAACGGATAGACATTTAAAACTATTTCCTTTAAATGAAAAAATAAAGGTAATCCTCCAGGGTAAAACAAAAGAATTTCCTATACTATACTGTGTAGTGAAAAGAAAATAAATAAAATCGACAGAATGGAGATAATTGTGCAATTAACAAGTACATCAAACAATTTTAGATAGAATTCTATTCTAACTAGAATCTAAATTGAATACATTTTTTTAATATTAATAATCTCGTTTTATTCTTTATATTTTAAGACATTTTTTTTCTTATATTAAAAATAAGTATTGTATCATAAATTACATTAAAACTTTTATTAAAGTATGTAAGGTTAAATCAGTTTTATTATGAAATTTATTACATTTAATCTTGATTTGGAAAAATGATATATAATTTTTTATTAGCTTCCTAATTCAAACAATTTACAAATTTTTTAATGCTCATTATTATGCATTGTTCTTTTTGTATTTATAAAGTATTTTAATATTTGAAGATTTTTTCTAAAATTTATTAAATTTATTTTAATATAAAATATGAGAAAACCGTTGAACACTATTTTACTTCATATTTCTTTCAGTGTTCTTTAATTTCAAAGATAATTATTGAGAAAAATCTTCAAAATAAACGCATGGAACGTGAAATTCCAAGAAGATTTATATTTTATATTCATTTTGAGCCTTTATTGTAGGAAGACAAAACATTTTTCTACAATTTCAATGTTTTTTTTATTCAATTATATTTACAAATATCTTTAACTATGAAAATAATTTAAACAGTTAAATTTACATTCTTAACTTTAAAATTTATTCGCAAATTTAATTATTTAATTAATATTGAAAATTTAATTCAATTTATTTAAATGTTATAAATAATAAAATTTTCATAAAGAAAACGTTCGATTAAAATGAGCGACAGAAAACAAATAATTTTAATTGTTACAAATAAGTTATGAAATGTCATAATGTAATTAAATAATATGAATTCTATAATAGAAATAAATTAGTAAATGTTTAGTTATAATTTATCTTAATTATTTTACAGAATTTCATTTATTTAATTTATTATATTAAATAAAAACATTTAAAAAATAATTTGGAATTTCTATTAGCATCAAAAGTTTAATAATTTAGTTTTAATTCTAGTGATATATTTATTTAGAAATTATAAATTTACTTATAAATAATAAATTTCAATACTGTCCATAAACATTTATTGTACTTTGGAATAACCATTTTCTTGGAAGAATTATCTAAACTAATTTAAATTCCAGTAAGTTGAATGTCCTAAATTTGTAAAGCTAAAATAAAGAAAGTAATATTAATTTTTCCTACTGTTTCCATTTATTAATATTTTACAAGGTTCACACTTAAACTGCATACTTAATCGTTGAATGCAGTTTATAAATGACTTTATCCAAATTTGCCGTAAATTATCATTTAAATTAATTATTACAATATAAAACGTTATATAAAATGCTTAGCATAAAGATGTAATTCAACAAACTGACAAGTCAGAAATAATTCGCATAAAATTCAAATTTGTCTATAAAATTGCAAGTTGTGTGAACCGAAAATAACAAAAATAGGATTTTTAATAAAAAGATATTCATTTAAATTCTTTACACATGTGTTCTTTTCAGATATTTTATAGAGACTCTTGACTAAATTACAGGAAAGATACTAGAAAAGTAATTTAAAGGGAAGTAGAGGTAATTTATTTCATCATGTAATTTGAACCTTCAACTATTTTATGAAAGTTGATAATAACTGGCAACTTTTCTTACAGTAACATCAGCTCATGTTAAGAGAATAACTCAAGTTAAAATTTATATTGAAATTACAAAGTAAATTTCAATATGAATATTCAAATAAATTATTTAAAATAGTTATTTCTAATAATCATGTAAATAAATAGATTTAACATTAAAATTAATTTTAGTTCAGGGACTTACTATTTATGAACTAAATCATAAATCTAATTTGAAATCTTTGATTTTACAGAGAAGCGACAACCAGGATCTATAATGAAATTGAAGAAAAAGAATGAGTGATGTAAAAGAAATATGACAAACATTATTTATGAAGAATGATAGCGCTTCAAACTCGAATCTTCAAAATATCATAATGGAATTTTCAATATTAATTATTAAGATCAATCAATATTAATTTTGAACTTTATATCATTAAAGTTCAAGTTTAATACAAATTTTTTGTGAGTTTTTTTGTCTTGAATCACTTATGATGTTAACAAAAATACTTCATGATCTATAAACATAACTGCGACAGATTATTGTAATTATAAGATATTAAAGTATAATACTTTTTGTCATCGTTTGTTAGATATTTCCATCATCCTTCTAAAGTATATATTGTATATAAGCAATATTCAGATATGAGGAATCAATTTTTAATGCGCAAGAAAATGGGTGTCTTGCAAACCTACAGTCAAATTTACTGCTTAATAATGTTTGAATGCTAATTTCTGTTATGAATTTAGAGAAATTTACTTATAATTTTCTAAAATTCCTTCATCAAATAATGAAATGACAATGAATTGTAACTTTTAAATATAATTATGCGAAAACATTAGAAAAGTGAAAACGTAAAGAAAGATAGTACAGAATATCAATTATCAAATTCGATTTTTGCAATTTCTTTTTCTTTCATTGTTGTAAATGGAATTTAAAAACAAATGCAGTAGAACACCGTTTACAGGTTTCATATTCCTAAGTCTTTATTATTTGAACATTGTTTTCCGTTGATTCCAAAGCATTTCTAATCCTTCCAATGATAATATTAATACATTGAATAGAACAAAAACCCCTGCTCTGAAAGTGTATTCTCTTAGAGGGTAAAATTAGCATAAGTTATTGGCAATTGTGTGTAAATACAATTTCTAATATAAAGAAAATCTATACACTTGTAGTGTCCTGTGACATAAACTAATTTATAAACCAAAAATATTTATTTTAAAAAACAAATGTATTTCAGAAACTCTTTCAAATTTATAGCGATTTTAAACTAGAACTGAAAATTTAAAAATTCTGTAAAGTACAGTTTACTACCGGTTAGCAGTGAAATTTAAGTCTTGAATATAAGAAAATCATTATGAAATTTATTGCATGTAACTAAGGTTCTTGTTAATTAGGTAAGTGAATTATGTCTAAATGACCACGTTTAATAGCCATGTTTAATTAAAACTTCAAAAAGGTTCCTAAAAAAATATAAAATAAAAGATAAAAAATTCAAATATTTATTAAAAGCTGTAATACTATATGTTTGCCATAGAAATGGTTAGTTTTGCTATCTTAATGGTGCATCTTGACTTAATTTTCGGTTATACTACTTCGGATTCTGTCTCATGAAAGTTGCATAAGTATGCCCTTGTTTTAACACTATTTACTTTATGTTATTTTTAAAAATATTTTTCATAGCTAATGTGTAAAATAATGAAACGGTATTTATTTTCTATTGTTAAATTTATTTTGATATTTTGTTAGTAAATGATGCTGACCGAAATAAGTAAGAGCCCATCAGCGACTGAGTGAATAAAACAATCGAACACTGATAGTTGATCTCAAATTCGTGCTTGACTACGAGCTGGCCACGTAGTATTTTTCGGTTCTTCATTGTTTAACAACTAAATAGGGACCAGTTTCACTTAGACAGTCGTTCCGAGAAGCACCCCTCATTCAAGTTTTGCGTGGTGAGAGATGCCTCTTGGGAGAACTTTCTATGTGAAATGAATAAACAAGAATTAAGCACTAGTTATAAAAACTATTATAACAGTAATTTTGTTGTGATTAGACTCGCAACAAATTTTATTATTAATATAAACAATCATCTTGAGAGCGATATGTTTTGTCACACAAAACAAACAGCATACATTTAATAATAAAGTTATTTTTACCCGCATTCATTCATTTATTTGGTTATACATGAGATAAATTTTCTATTTTACGTATCGTTACAAAATCGCTACTTTTATTTATTCTAAACGTTGATGATGAAATTGTTTTACCAACTAAACTTCTTAGAGTTCCACGAGAAATGCTCACGCGCGTGTCATTAAACAACAAACACGCAAGCTTACTATTGTATTTATTTTCTATTGCACGTCAACATTTTTCATTTTCGAAACTTGCTTGATGTTAGAAATATAGACGGTAACGTTTGAAAATTTGTTTGTAAGGTTAACAGTATTTTTATATTATTATTTCTTCCAATGTTTTAAGTCATCTCGACCTGTTTCTGAGTGATTTCATTTGGAACTTATTAGATCAATAATCTCCAAACTTTTTGATCGCTTAGAGGTACGCGATAAAAAAATACAACATTATATATATAACATATTATATATAAAACATATATATATAATGTTGTATTCTCATAACATAATATAACATAGCATAATATACAGTATTTTGAAGGGAAACTTGGCGTACCTCCAAGTATCACTTTGCGTACCCCCTGGAGTACGCGCACCTCACTTTGGAGATCATTGTATTAGATCATAATCGAATAAATTTCTGCATTGCAAGTAAAATAATTCTGTTGTCATTTTTGTCAATCATAGATTATTTTTCTCACAGTTGCAACCGGTTTGCAGTGGATTTTTTATGTTAAATTTGATACAGATTCTAATTAACTAAATGGCAATTAATTGAAAATGTAATGCAATAACATAAAATTTTATATTTTTTTCACTGATAACAGGCAGCGTAAACGGTAGTCATTGGCCACTTACAGAATTTTCAAAATAAAAATTTCCTTAACATAACATACACATTAAATCGGAAAATATTGTTTGATGAATCTGTTTTTTTTTTATAGCGTTTCTACTGCCAACATCTACACATTACAAATGCCAATGTTTAATCCAAAATGCGTCTTGTTTTACGAAAATGCAAAATTGTACAGTACAATTATTGTGGAATTACTAAAATAATGTTGGATTTTTAGCTGCCTACTGACAGCAGGAACTTGAATTAATAATTCCACAACATCTTTTATAGAACTCTTATTAAAGAGGTTTAACTTCGAAATGGTCAACTACAGTCTGGTGACCAATAACTGTACCATTTACCTTATACCGTATTATCATAAATTACTTTCATTTGTTGAAGAAAGTAATATTTCAAGATTAATCTAAATGAATCAACTCTAATTCGAGAATAAAGAATTTGGACTAAGTTAGGATTTGGACATATTAACAAATTATTTATTCGATTTTGATTAATTATATTGAGCTCTTATTTATTGTGACACGTCATAATGCAATTTCGCCCAATGCACTTTGTGTCTTGCCCTTGTACTGTACATTATACTTTTCTTGTTAACGTTAAATTCATGACGGTCATGTATCTAGCTCCGTTCAGGAGAAAAGTTTTAAATTGAAGTAACGTGACTTTCGGTCTAAAGCGGGAGTTCGTATATAGTTAATTGGTGCCTCCTCTCCTGCCCCTCATTTTTCCATATCTGGTTTCGATTTTCACCGTTCTCGAAATTAAGGAAGGACAGACAGTGGAAATTTATAGGTCTACAATTGTTTCAAATTGCAGCCCAATTATTGTTTATGGATGCAGTCAAAACATTCGATGGAGAAAATGATAAACAATGTTTGATATTTTATTATGAAAGCATCTTTGAATTTCGTTTATTTTTATTTCTTTATGTTTCTGTAGTTTACCGTCGACTAAACTTTCTACAAAATTCTTAACACAAGAGTCAAACGATTTAGTTATATAGTTCTAAATGGCTATTACTGTAATACTGAGGATTCTACCAGCCAGCTCACTTTTTTCTGATGGTGCGAGATCATTTTATGGTTTATCTTCTGTTAGTATAATCATCATATTAATTTTCTTTCAGGTAACGGTTTGTTATATATATTTCCTCTATTTTATCTCTTGACCTCGCACCATCTATTGTAAATTTTTAATTGTAATTGCATTTTATCATTTCATCTAATTTTAGGGACTATTTATTGCTTATTTATTTTACTCTTTTTTGTTTTTCATTTGTCTTATTTTTGATATATTTTCAGATATATTATTTCTTTCATCATATCTTTAAATATCCCACTTAAAATATTTATACAAAACGTCCGTTCCATCAAAATAAAGGCTCTTATCTCCCGTTTTTATTTTGATATCTCTGATCTTTACGTTATTACCAAAAGTTCGTTTACCTCATTGTCTTATGATAGCGCTTATTTTATTTCTCTATTTGATTATTCACGTATATCTTTATATATCAAAGAGGTAGAGGAATTCTTGTTATTATCCCCGTCTATACAAGTTTATAAAATTTTTAAACATATTGATTCCATTCTTATTTTAAAAATTCCTGAATATAAATTTATTTTATCCATTATCTACGAACCTCATCCTAAGAGAATATTTATTTTTCAAATTCTTCACCGTTCTTTATTTTCTTTTATTATCCTTTCTGGTATTATCCTTTAAATTCGTATTGCGCAACGATTTTAATTTATATAATGTTTATTGGAAATTCTCGGGTTCATTTTATAGTATTATGGACTCTGCTGAAATTTATTTGATAAAATATTTTTTTTTATTTTTTAATTTTCTTTTCCATCAAGAGGGAATTCCTATCTCGACCTAGTATTTATTAGTAATTCCCGTGACCGCCTACTCGACCATCGGTTTTCTGTTTGATCACATACCTATTTGCCTTAAAGTTTGTCTCTGTTTAAATTCACGTAAAACGAAGCGATTTATTAAACTTATATCCTTATGGTCCCAAATTAACTTGAAAAAAGTCGCCACCCACCTCGGTTTCATTAATTGATCTGACCTTGATTCTAATAATATCTCTTTTAATACAAAGCCTGACATTACTTATAAAATTTTTTTTATCTACTATACACAATATTTGCAATTCCGTAAAATTGATATTTGAACACAAAAATGGTATACTCATAGTCTAAAAAAACTTCGTAATTTATTTCGAAATCACTGGAATAAATAGAGAAAATCCGGTAACCCTCGCTATCTTTACTTACACCGTATGAAAAAAAAAAAAAAAATACTATCGTGAATACCATACTTCTTTCCAAAAATATTTTAATAAGGTAACAGAGTCCTTTTCGTCCGACCCTGGCACATTTTAGTCTTTATTACCCAATTTTTTCTAAAAGAATACCACGTATATTACTTCTTGTTCAAGACTATAATGTCTATAATGTACACAATAATTAAAAAAAACAAAAAGATTTACCACAATACTTCTTAATGTCATA